TAAATCATAAATGGAATTAACTTCAATGATCTTAATGTAAAAACAACATAAAAGAGACTTGCCTCACTCCTGGACGAAGTGTCCATCATCACAGAAGGTCTCACAGGAGGTGGAGGTATTGGAAGTACTTGAAGAATCATCCAATCTGGACGGGCATACTTAGGATTTAAGCCTAATAGTTGGCAGTCCTCATCACTTATCCTCTTCAAGACACTAAGAACCTAGAAAACACAACAGAAAATGAATATAATATCAAAAAGAACAGGTTAAACGATAATAAAATCAACACATATGCACAAATGGCTACCCGTTCAGCAGTGAGAGTCTGTTTTCTTTCCACAGGTTCAGGAAGTTGTTCCTGATCATCATTCCTCTTCCTTTGGGGCTTATATTCTGCAATCATCTTCATACCATCAATACTCAGCTTCGGCTGCTGAGCACCACAGCCACCACGACTCTTTTTTACAGGCTCCTCTGTATCTTGACCTTGGACATCAATTTCATCACCGCCCTCACATTTACTTTTATTCTTGCATGCATCTAAGATCTTTTTCAGCCTATTCTTTGGATTCTTTATCTTCAATGCCTGCTTAAATTTATGGTCTTCCTGGAAAGGCAACAATTAAATTAGAGAATGGCATCCTGTGACCAGACATATTTGCTCTTTAGTGGCACAATCCAAACCAAATAGTATACAGACAAGTATAGAAAGCCAATACAGGTATATATCAAAACCTCAAATATTGAAACCTGCTAAAATACACCTAGTGAAACTGTTACCAAAATCCAAAAGCAATTGTAATTTGAAAAGGAAAAAAAATAGCTATGAAGCCTAATATCACTCACTTCCCCAATTGTAAATATCGCCTGCTCAGACCATAAACAATTAAAACATGCCTTTCCTTTTGTATGCTTCAAGTTCACTTTCAATTACTTCAAAATATCATACCATACAACCCGCAAGTTACTGCACTCCCTCACACGTAGTTATGCTCTTTGCAACATATGGAAACTAACAGTCCAAATCCGGAATCATGCTATCCAATGATAACAAGAAGTTGTCAACGCGCTAAAATTAGTTGCAGCTCACATTCAAATAAGAAAATGACCTAATCAAGCATAGTAGTACCTCATCAGCGAGAATTTTAGAGCAATTGAAGCAGACACATCTCATTATACTGAGCACAGTTTTCATAAACCCAATATGAAACATAGGCTTGGCAAGCTCCAAGTGCCCAAAATGCCCTGGACACTCTGCCATGTTGGCCGTACACGTCTCACATTTCATCTTCCGATCAATTGTGCCCAGCCGCGGGTCACTTAAACCGCCCACTTTAGGTTTTCCCCTCTCGGTCGTTTCACCGTGCTCAATCTGCACCACCGACATTTGCCGCTGCAAAACCAAGAAATCAACATCATAATTTCCAAATTCAACAAGCTCGAGCAAAGTGGGAGAACAAAAAATAGAGCAACTTCATCTTGCAGTTAAAAAAGAAGAACCGCAAAGTAGCTCCCAGTTCAATACAAAGATTCTACAGTTTTCATCTCTTCTCTTTTTCTATTTTTTTTCCTATAATTTCTTGGCAACCAAACAGCCTGCAAAGTATAAAGGTGAAAATAGGAAAAAAGAGAGCTGAGGAATTGAAATTTACGATTTCGTCGGGGCTGAGGATTCCGAACTGGACCATGCGGACCTTGGCGACCTCCGCCGGAGAGTAAGGGAATCGCAAATCCATGGCTACCCGATTCGATGAAAAAACCTTTTAAACCCTAGATTCTCACAGAAGTAGACAGTGCAATTCTCTTTTATTGCGAAACAAACTGAACTTTTTTCCTTTTCTCTTTTGGTTCTTTCATGTTCTTTTTTTTTTTCCCGATTTTCTGTTTGAAATTTTCCCGGTTTAATTTGAGAGATCGAAAATTTGTCGACGACGGCGTAAGCCTTTCCAGCGAGAGAGAGAGAGAGACTCTCCAAACGAAGCAAGCAAATGGCCCTAAGGCCTTATTTATAGACAAATTAGAGCAGCCCTAGGCACGCAATGAAACCGACTTTTCTAGATAGACTAGCGCGTACCGGATGCGCACTGCGCAACGGTATAAGCATAAGGTCAAAAATGCCCTCCATCAGTTGATCGGGTCGAAGGCATGGAGCCCGGGCCCAAACTGCTCATTTGTTTATGTCCTTAAAATTAATTAATTCCACTAATTTTTTTGGTGATTAAATAAATAAAATTAATACAAATACTTTGTTAATTTTACCTAAAAATTGACTATAGAACTGAATAAAAATATTTAAATGAAAAAATATAAAAAAATGCATAAAACAAATATTAAAATCCTTGCCCAATGAATGATCCGCCACAATTAAACGGCCCACATTGACCAACCTGTTTTGTAGCCCATATGAAGCCCAACATAAGCACAACACCAAAGCAGCCCAAAAGCAAAAAGAACGTACAAAAAGCCACATTTTGCCTAATTAACATCTCAAAGACGGAAAATGAATTTGCAGTACATTTGATTCACGAAACAAAATAATTATTTTGTGAGAAAATAAAATTAGTAAATATAAAAAACAATACTATTATAAAATTTTATTCATTAAAATTAAATGTATTAGGTATTGTATTATTATGTATGATTAACTTAATTTTATTGACGGAAATAATCAAATTTAAGTTACTGAACAGCATTTGAAGTGTTTTTTATAACCAAAATTACCAACAACTAAATCTAACTACTTAGAGTATCTTTGCTGTTTTTTCACGATCAAATATATTAACTGATAATTTATTTTATTACTTTCGACAACCGTGATTTATTGTTTGCTTTTTTTGTAATTTTCCGATCATTAATATTTGTGATATTATTAAAAATTTTAAAAATTGTTGTGAGATACAATAATCCATAAAACAATATTTTTAATTTTTATGTTCAAGGAATAGCTATGTTAATTTTGATAAAATAAAAAAAATCATATTAAGAAATTTAAAAAAAAAAAAAACTCAAATTAAGAACTTTGCTCTCCTGTTTTTGTCTAGAAAGGGCGTCACGAACCTCGTCATAACAAGGAACTTTCCAAAGCAGCAACGCGTGTTTGGAAAACCTGTTTCGCCAATGCCAGGGCCAAACCCCGGCTCGGCTTCCTCATAAATCCCAATTCGCGTTCCCAACAATCGAAAAACCGTCTTAACAACGAAAGAAATGGCTTCCATCTACTGCTGTACGGAGTGCGGAACCAACCTAAACTTAAGCACGACCCATCTCTTCCCGCCAGACTTCTACTTCGAGGCGGGAAACAAGGGCACCCTCTCCTTCGCCTTGATCGACACCACCAAGTTCAAGTTAGAGAAAGAGGACAAGATCAGGCCGTTCTTTGAGACCGTTGATTACTGGGGGATCCAACGGAAGAGAACCAAGATCAAGTGCAACAGCTGCGGGAAACTTGTGGGTTATGTTTACGATGACGGTCCTCCTCTCACGAATGGTCCCGGTCAGTATCATTTCGGGCCCAGTCAGGTCATCCCCAGAGCTCCTAGGTACCGGTTCAAGACCAAGGCGCTTAGGATCACGTCCGAGACTTGAGTGATTCTTGTGATTATGGTTTATGGGTTCTGTAGATATTTTGATTTGGGTTGTTTTGTTTTAAGTGTTCGGACGGTCTTGTTATCTGAATTTCGCATGTAATGTTGGAGATTTTTATACCCTTTATTTTATTGAATTAATTTCTTTGTTAAAAAATTAGGTCTAATTGATGATATTTTGTTCTGCGATGAATGTTCTTACCGTAAAGTTTGAGGCTTTATATGTTCAAAGTACCATGAATGGATGCAAGGAGCCCTGCAGCAAACATCAGCAAACATTACCGGGAATGCATCTACCACTTTCAGGAGATGTTTGATGTGTTTCTGCAGTTGTCATCCTGAGGCAAAAACCATGTGTTTCTACACTATCATTTTTTGCTTGAAATATCCATCCTGCTGAATTAGAAAGTAATCTTAATCATATTGCAGAGGTGGGTTGCTAACTGCTAACTACCAATTTATTATAAATCAGACTCAAAACTGTCAGCAGAACTGAGTTATTCCCAGATCAAGCAATTTCTCCGTTCGATCTTCACTGATAAAACACTCTTGGGGTGAACCTTGTGTCATGCTGGGTGCTATTTGTCGTAATGACTTGAAATTCTTTTCTGCAATTTAGCCTGCCCCATCAGGCCCCTCAGTGGTTCAAGTTGCAGTGAAAGGCAAGGGTGATTATCATTAATCCATTCAATATAAAAGGGATTATCCGAACTCTAGGAACCAATAACAGGACTTCTAGATTGGATTGTTCTGGCATGTTGGGTTAGCTCTACCTGATTTTCAGTGGGGTGTTAAGGGTAGGTATGGTCTTTGACTGAAGAAAATATTGATTTAAACCATTTCCCAGAATTTTTTGTTTGCTGCCCAATTTTTTATATGGCAGTTCCTTTCATTCTGGACTATGGATTATCCATATCTCATTGTCTTCACTTGTCCAATCTATCTTGCTACTTGAAATTGCATCTACCGGTCAAAGTTTTCAGTTGCCTTTATTTCTGCACATGTATGACCTTGCATACCGATCAGTAATCAGCTAAACGGAGCAGCCAAGAAACCAATCTGTCACTTACGGTTGAAAGGTAGGTTGGATTAGTAGCTCTGGGGGGTTGGATATTGAAGTGGCGTTTCATGTATTCAATATTTTTGTCCCCTATTATTTAGTTATTTCATCTGATCATCTCAAGCTTGGAATTCAGACAGAGCTAACTAGCATATTCAACCAAAAGGCTTCATGATCATGAAGCAAACGGAGGTGGAAACTGACACTGTCCTTGGTAAGCCTAAACAGGCAACCCCCCCGCCACCACCTCCTCCACCACCACTTCCAAGATTCTGGGCAAGGAAGACTACTGCAGACAGTGTAACGAACCGAGAGATTGCCAGGTTCTGGAGGCGGAAGCGTGTTGAGGAAGAGGATCACCTTCTGGCTGCCATCAAGGCAGCAGCACGCATTAGGGCCCGCAATCTTTCGGTAAGATTCTATTATACACATTTAGCTTTGTGACAGGGTTCTCACAGGAAACTGTTATCAGCTTCACTAAATCATGTTGATGAGCCAATTATATAAAAGTCATAGTCATCCATGTTGAGTGATTGACAACTTGTGAAAATAGCATCCCTTGTCCTGTTTCATTTTTCTTCTCTTGTTTTCCTGATCTCACTAAACTTGGATAATGTGGACAGGATTAAACTTGCAAAATGTTAGCATATGCCTAACCATTTGATTCTTTTTGTTCACTTGTTAACTTGTTCAACATCGATATCATACAGGAGGAAGACTACAAGCGTTTTGAAGAGTCACTGAATGATGAAGACAACAACCCAAAGGAGAAGATCACAGCCCCAACCAATAACAGCGAAGGAGATGAAAAGAACAATGAAATTCGAGTAGGAATAAAGGACTGGTCAGTAAAATTTCTCTTCAAGATTTTGTCTACTTTTAATCCTGATGAGAATAACCATGTATGGGAAATCATATTGAAGTTGATTTCCCTGAATCAATTTAGAAATACCAAAGTGCAAGCACCAAAATTCTATGTCATACAGTTTTCTGAAAGCAACAAGTTGCAGATAATTTTGTAGAGAAATCAACAGAGTTCAGCAGGACATGGACATTGTCTTTGCTAATTCTTTGATCAGCTTCTGGTAGCTATTAGTTCAGAACAGCTGATCAAAGGCTTTTATTCCTTGGAAAAGTTATTATTAGAACATTCTTAATTGAACTCTAATATCTGGTTTCGACTTGAGCAGGTGGACAAAGAGCAAGTATGCATACTTAAACCAACCAGCTGTGGAGTCCATGGACAATCCAAAGCGACGAGCATCCACTTATATTCCAAATTTTTTCAATTTTAAACCTGCTCCTTTATATCCTACATCACTTGGTGTCTTTTAGACCATTGGGATCAGGAGCTGTTTCAACTTTCAATTGATTGTCTCACCTTATATCATTACAGTTATGTGCATTGATTTGTATGTGTCATTGCAAGCTGTGTTCATTTCTTTAAAAATGTTCTTGCAAATCAAGAATGGTTCGATATATTACTTCTTTCTGTTCTTAGAAAATCCTGTTGTGTTATAAATTGTTCAATCTGTTTTCTGGTAAACCACTTCAGTTTGGCTCACCTCATGATCAAGCAGTCATGTTAGGTAAACCATTGTCAAATCCAGGATCATAAAATCAAAACCTGAAGGTGAATTTAGACAAAGCAGGGAAGACCTGCATCGAATTAGTGAAACATTTGGCCGGTTGTAAGGGAAAATAACGTCATTAGATAACCTTGCCACTTGCTAGTTGGCCGTGCTTCTGAAAACGAAGAATGTAAAATGATCCCCTGTAAAGTCCTTGATTTCTTAGCATTTTTGTGGTTAGCAGATAATTCTGCAGCAGCTACCAAGGTTCCTCCAAAAGATCTTTGCATGTAGCCAAGGCGACGATGTGTAGCAGGCTTAGAATCCCTCGTGCAGGTTAACATTCCTCACACGTATAGACTCCATCCCATTAGAGAAGGTAGCAAAAAGAAAGTAAGAAGCAAGAAAAGGAAGAAAAACAGAAATCCAAACCCTGGTAACAACCAAACTACGAGGCTTTCTTGACTAAAACAGGGCAAAATGCAAAATGCAGAAGGTGGTTTTCTTACGATTCCAGTCTTTTGCAAAGAACAGCCCCGTCAAATCTTATTATGCAATGCTTTCACATTTTCAGAGTTCACAATTTCGCATTGCAATCAATCATTAAACTGAATAATTTCTGGAAATGAAGGAAGGGAGTCGAGACACTAAATCAGAAGGCAATCTCTCTCCTGGAACCATAACTAGTTAACCAGTGCCCTGCTTTCTTTGCAGCATTAGGAACCCTATTTCAGCAAGAACATGAAAATTTGAAGAATCATCATGAACAAAACCCTTGACAGATAGAAGTAAAACTCCTTGATCAATCAACATTTCCCCCTTTTTCTTTTGGCAAAACAAGTTCCTCTATGCTAGATGATAAGGTTCTCATAGACCCAAAACAGGTAGGACTGATGAATTCTTTAACAATTAATGGTAATTCCAAAGGCAACCATCATCAGCAAGAAAAGTAATAGTGGAAAAATTCTGGGGTAGACTTGGTACAAGCTGCTGAGAGGTTTGACATTGCCAAAAATTGTTTAATCTAAACCAATTATACCATTTTAATATTACCATGTTCCAATACCGCTTCTCCATTATCAACAAATTACATATATATAAAAATAAATAATCCAGCCAAGCATAAAATACTGGACTGGACTCTGTCTTTTTTAATTCATAATAATAAACCATTAGCACATTCAGCGTGAGCTGTATTTAATTAAATTATTTTTTTAATTAATTTGTGGTGTACTGAAATTAGGCTTAGCTTGAAAATGTTATGGATAAGAACGAATTACAATAAATAGCTGTATGTCACATTATTAGAGGATGGTGAAGAAACAATTTTTATTTGCCATAAGCTCCATATGTAGCTTGCTCTATTAGTATTTTTTTAAAGAATTTAAATTATGAAAAGTGATTTATCAATTTGGAATATGTTAAAAAAATTAAAATATTTGGAGCTAATATTGCTCTGAAAAAAAATCACGGAGCTAATAAGAAAAAGTACAACGAAATTTTGTAAATAAATAAAAAAGTATAGGGACAAAAGTGACAAAAAAGAGATATGTCCAAAGGACGGACCTATAATTTTATCCAAGTAAAGGTGAGTAATAATTGGTACATATCAAGATAATTAATCGAAATTGCTTAAATTCGATTAATTTGTTTTATGTTGTTTTAAGATTTTAGTATTAATCGATTAAGAACAATTATTTATTCAATTATTTTGATCAATTTTTTTATCTAAAATTTACTATTATTAAAAAATAATCATTAATAATATATAGAAATATAATTAATAATAACATTTATATATATGATTATTTTAAAAGTATTTAGAAGTTATCAGTGAAATATAAAGCAAAAATTTTGACATACAAATATTATTAATATTAATAATTAAAATCGAGAAAACCAATTTTAATTGCAGAATATAATGTGATTAATTTAATTATTTTTTATGAGATTTTAATTGATTTAATTTAAAATTTTAAAATGAAGCTCATCGACAATTGACAAGTCTAAATTTTCAACAGACTTAAAGCCAACGTAATCTAACGAGACGTCCCAGAAGTCATACAAAAAAGAGAGAGCGCTTACTCGTAACTGGCCTTTTGTTAAAACACCGAATCCAGGAAGTTCCAGATCTCGATCTCCCGAGTTTCAGAATCAAAATGGCGAAACCGAGGCATTCGCGCCATCCGGCTCGGAAATCGTCATCCTCAACCATGATTCTAACTATGCTGATCATGTTCACCTTCCTGATTTTGATTCTCTTGGCGCTCGGAATCCTTTCGATTCCCAGTAGCAACTCCGGCGATTTGAGCTCGATTAAGCGTAACGCCGTCGACAGGTAAGCTTCGTCTTCGAGAATTTTTTGGTTGACTTGGATGGCGATCTGGTATTAACTGTGGTTGTTTTGGGGACATTTTTGGAATTGCAGAAGTGATGATGATGAAGGGCAAGGAGAGCAGTGGGTTGAAGTCATCTCCTGGGAGCCTAGAGCTTTCATCTTCCATAATTTCTTGGTTAGTTCTTTTTATTTCTTAGTTTTTTGGCTTAAAATGTTGCGTTTTTTTTTTGTTCCTCTTTAATTTTATTTTTTACTCGAAGCTAAATTATTAACTGAAATTATTAGTTAAATTAAGCAAATTGTTCTTCTAAATCTTAGAAAAGCTTCCATCACTTTGAATCACTCATTAGAATGTTAAACACTATTTCACACTGAAAATGTAATGTGAATTATTTATTAAGAACTGTTTGTTAATTGTATACTTAGTAATTTGATGGATCTGCGAAATGTAAGATGATTTAATGCCAAAATTTTTATAGAATTATTCACATCCGGTAAAGAGGAAAAAAGAGGTGAAAATCGCAGGAAGTTAATACTCGAATAATAAATGAATTCATATTCTGTTATCCACTTTGTGGAGCAGATCCTGCTAACTAATTATAGTTAGAAAGATTTTATACTTTACAAAGGTCGTCATTTGCGATTTTGGCAGTCCAAAGAGGAATGTGAATACCTAATTGAGCTTGCCAAGCCTCATATGGAAAAGTCAACCGTTGTTGATAGTGAAACTGGCAAGAGTAAGGATAGCAGGTATATAACTATCAGTGTTCTTGTTGCATTTTGTTTCTATCTCTGTGAACTATTTGATTACGTGTGACCATGGATGGGTAATTGCAGGGTACGTACAAGTTCTGGAACATTTCTGGCTAGAGGACGTGATAAGACTATTAGGAACATTGAGAAAAGGATTGCAGATTTTACCTTCATACCAGCAGGTATGTGCTAGCATATTGATCAATCCAAATTCACAAGTCAATTGTCTTCATTAGCGTATTTCTTTCTTTCATATTATCTTGTCTTCTTCCTTGGGTTAGTTCTTGCTTTTTATGCTAACTGTGGTTATGAAGTTACTCATGGCAACATGCTAATATGCAGAGCATGGGGAAGGACTTCAAATTCTCCACTATGAAGTCGGCCAAAAATATGAGCCTCACTATGACTACTTCATGGATGAGTTCAATACCAAGAATGGTGGCCAACGCATAGCTACAGTCCTTATGTACCTGTGAGTGACATGACAAACTGAGTTTTTTATCCTAGTGCATTATGTGAAAGTTCACCTTTTTCAGTTCTGTACCTTTTTTTTTTTTGTTTTACCATTTTACAGCTCAGATGTTGAAGAAGGGGGAGAGACAGTGTTTCCTGCAGCAAAGGGGAATATTAGTGCTGTCCCTTGGTGGAATGAATTATCTGAATGTGGAAAAGGGGGGCTTTCTGTCAAACCAAAGATGGGTGATGCGTTACTTTTCTGGAGCATGAAGCCTGATGCAGGTCTAGATCCTTCAAGTCTGCATGGTTAGTTATAGCTACTAATTAACTAGCTGCTTATATTGTACAGGAACACTCCCATTTTTGCACATCATGTCCCTTGAATGTCTTGTTGCATTACTCGATTGATATCACAATTCACAAGTTAATATCTATTTTCTTTTTTCCCCCATACCTTCTCTTCATTCCTTTTCTAGGGTCATCTATAACTAACGATTTTTAATTATCCAGGAGGCTGCCCGGTGATTAGAGGAAATAAGTGGTCGTCTACAAAATGGATGCGTGTCAATGAGTACAAGGTTTAAACAGCCGTTATAAAGGTAACCTTTTCTATCTAGTATTGACAATTATTAGCATTACCGATATAGGCTGTAGCTATAGTTCCTCTGCTTCTGTATCTAGAACCCTTAAAGAAAACTAACGAATATGCCTGCATCCTTCAATCGACCACCACTTAGAATAAACAAAAAGTTTAGGGAACGGGCAGTCTAGATTATTTTGAATTGAATAGGACATAGCCTGTTACAGCAGATTGCTGAAAGCTACTCACTCTTTTGGAGATAAAGGCAACAGAAGAAACATCAAAACCATGGCTCTCCTGCATTATCCCCATTATTCAAACTAGCCTTGCCTGCAAAATGATCTCATACATTATCTCACAAAACGTTTGTTTTCTCAGTTGACAGGAATGGACTTGGATTCCTTACCATCCATGTTGTACTCTGCAAATGTTAAAAAGTGAGAGCTCTACCGCTACCCCGCTGCACACATGGTGCTCTTTCTTGCTACTATCAATTTTTCGTGCACTCCCGCCTGCTGACTTGGACTCATGCTCCAATCTTGTTTCTTTACCTTTTTATTTTTTTTAAATTTATTTTTACGATTTTTACCTCAGTAAAGAGCCTTTTTAAAATGTTCCTAGTCCCTACCGCTGATAGAATAAAAGTTAAGGAATTTTCGCCTGCGTGCCCAAAAGTGTAACGGCTAGCGCAGATGAGTTGATGACATAACGATGTGGTGTACCTAAATGAAAAACACGATATCACTTATTTGACATATTACAGTCTTTTAAACTCTTCTCATTCTGTCGTGGCCGTTAAAAGTACCACTTCTCTGGAAACGTGGCTTTATTTCCATGAGTTTCAGCACTTGTCTTGGATTGTTTATTTGTTTTTACTATAAAAATACAGATTTCACATTAATAAAAAATAAAATATATTTAATATAATATATTTTTTAAGTTAAAAATGTAAACTTGCTATAATAATGTCAACATTTATTCAACTCTTCAGATATCAAGATCAAGATATTTATGTTTTATTAATATTTATTATATTAGATCTTGTGGTACTCACTTTGGGAATGAGAAAATTAAGTGGTTTAAATTTTGAACAAAAATGAACAGTTACAAAAGTTATAGGAATACTTATTTATTCAATTCATTTGAATAAAAAGAAAAATTTACATATTTGTCTCTGTTGTGATATACATTAATTAATCGTACCAACTCCATTATTGACTTAAAATATTAGCATAAAATTCAAAATTAAATTAAATTGAATATTATAAAAATTCAGATTGGATCCGACCAAAATTTGGTATAAAAATCTTAAATCCAAATTCGAGTCCAACCCAAAGCCGTTTGGAGCTAGAGGGCCTGCGCGGGTAGTTAACATCTGTAGCCTAACCTGACCACCCAACCGAACCGAGTGACGGAGGTTTCTCGTGCATGCTCGTCGCACATCAACGAGTTGCAGGAAATTATCAATATGATTAGAATACGTGACCATGAATTACTGAATTACAGTACTCTCCTGTCGGAATTTTGCATTGTTTTTTTTTTCTTTTTGCATGTTCCCCTTTGTCAAAACCTCCTCGAAAAAGTGAGATGGGAGGGATAGGAAAAGAAACAGGAGCACATAACTGGTATCTAACCATGCTTAAAATGGCAAGACCCAAAATTTTCCCATCTTTGGTTTCAAATTTTATTCAATAAAACGTTGCTGCAATTTTTCCTTCACATGTCCAAAATTGCCAACCCATATAAAAATAAGCAGACAGGGTTAGGAAAGGATTTGTCAAAGATGCATACCCCGCTTTGTAGACCAATTATTTCTTTTTGCCAAATCACTGTTTCGAGCCGATCAAGTTCCTGATGACGTATTGCAAAATGCCTCCATGGTTGAAATAAGCCAGTTCCACCTGAATGAAAAAGTAACCAAAGGTTCATCCGGAAGGAAATTCAACGACTGGGGGAGCTCTCTTTTGACAAAAACCGACTAAAAGATTTTACCTCTGTATCAAATCGTACAGTACAGGTGAATGACTTGCCACAGTCTGTAGCCACAGTGACATCTTGTCCTGGTCTGATTTCATTCACGGTGTTAGGAAGATCGATGGTATAGCGCTCGTGGCCAGTCAACCCGAGAGTGTCAGCATCCTCTCCAGCCTTGAAACATAGTGGAATGATGCCCATGCCCACCAGATTACTGCGGTGAATTCGCTCAAAGCTCTTGGCAATGACTGCCTTTACACCCTGCGTCCAATATCATTTACGGCATCAGCGAGACAGACCGGAAAATACAGAGCGAGATCTACATTTTTGTCACTCAAAGAAAAAAAAAAAGATGACGATGAATGATGTACCAGCAGCATTGGACCTTTGGCAGCCCAGTCTCGAGAACTTCCACTCCCATATTCAGCACCAGCCAAAATTATGGTATCCTGTCCTGCGGCCTTGTATCTCTGTCAGATACAGAAAATTGAAATAATATTACAACTCAAGTGCAACTTCCGCATGAGATGAATGTTAATCATACAAATTAGTACAATTAATTCAGATAGATCATAAGGCAAAGGCCAAGATTTCAAGGGTAAAAAAGTGTTAAATGAGTGGAATAATTTACCATGGCAACATCATATACAGATAGCTTCTCTCCGGTGGGAATATGAATTGTTTTAGGCCCAACTTCTCCTTTCAAAAGTTTGTTCACGATACGAATATTTGCGAAAGTGCCCCTCGCCATAATCTCATCATTACCACGGCGACTTCCATAAGAGTTGAAATCTCTTCTATCTACCCCATGTTCCATGAGGTATTTCGCTGCAGGACTGTCTTTGTGGATGCTACCGGCTGGGGAGATGTGATCAGTTGTGATACTGTCTCCAAAGTTAAGCAAGCAGTAAGCATCCTTCACTCCATGTGGACCTGGAGGCGACATGGTCATGCCTTTAAAGTATGGTGGCTCATGGATGTAAGTTGATTTTGGGTCCCAGGAGTAAAGGATACTCAAGGGTACAGATAATTGATTCCACATGGGATTTCCTTTGGTGATTGCTTCATACGTAGCTTTAAACATATCAGGCAGCACACTCAATTGTACAACCTGAAGACAGTACAATAATGAGAAACAATATTAGTTCCAAATATTTTAAGCCTAGGAGTCAAGGTAAAGAAGGCTGGGTAGCTCACATCAGCTACTTCTTCACTAGAAGGCCAAATGTCCTTGAAAAAGACCTCTTTTCCATCTTTCCCTGTACCAATGGGCTCTGTCGCAAAATCAATCTCCACCTGCAACGTTGTTTCAAATGAGATATAGACTTGATGCTTCAGCTCAGAAAAGAATGAAAGGGGTCCGAATATATAAGCATCTAATTATGATAAACAGATGGCATCATAGGCAGTATACATGTCAATTTCAAGAACAGAAATTTATGAGCAGATATCAAATCCTAATGATTTGAAGCTACATACAGTGCCAGCAAGAGCATAGGCAACAACGAGGGGAGGAGAAGCAAGATAATTAGCCCTTGTCAGAGGATGTACGCGTCCTTCAAAGTTTCTGTTTCCTGACAACACAGCTGCGGCCACCATATCTGGAAGCATATGTACAAAACAGCCAAAATATCAGCTCCCAAATTCTTATGCCAGGACAGCCAGGTGTGCCCTCACTAAATTAAGAATTTACCGTTTTCAGAGATAGCTGATGCCACAGATTCATCAATATCTCCTGAATTCCCGATGCATGTAGTGCATCCGTATCCGACAATATGAAATCCTAATTGATTAAAATATTTCTGCAAGCCACTGCAGTGCATTTCTGAGTTAATAATATGAAATAAGGAATAATGTTTATTATATGGATAATATACTCCTACAGGTTTATGGAAAAGTACCTCTTTTGCAAGTATTTGGTTACAACCCCAGAGCCTGGAGCAAGACTTGTCTTAATCCATGGCCTGACCTGTTAAAATTATAGTGATATACCAAATATGTAATAAGTACAAACCAAAAATATTCTCATTATCAATGAGTTCAATGGTCAGATGATACATGTCTGTAGACATAAAAGGTAAAGGAAAGCAGAGAAACCCTACCTCCAATCCTAATTCACATGCCTTCTTTGCAACCAGAGCAGCTCCTAGCATTACACTAGGATTTGAAGTATTTGTGCAACTAGTAATAGCAGCTATAACCACATCTCCGTGCCTCAGCTCTGCTGGAGTCCCACGGAATGAAAACTTTGCAACCTTGTTCTGAGATTCCTTTGGTATAGCAAATCCCTGTAACAAGAGAATGTGGGTAAAATGAACACAGGTAAGAGAAGAGGAGGTGATGATGATGCACTTAACAATTTTTTTCAACTGCTGCTTTAACAGGAGAAAAGCCACGGACTGATGACTTATATTTATTCTCCCAAAGTAGTCTTATTATATGATGGTAAAATATCTCATTGTCATGCTACTATTCAAGAAGTCATTATTTGTCTCAGCATCTCACTGCAGTAGTAAAAACATCAACTTAACCTCAACTCACCCTTACAATAGATTTCAAGACACAGTCTCTATTTAAATCACTTCTGAGTTATCAAACTGGAATAAGGTGCATAAATGATTTGCCCTAAGCCATTTCATCCTGTCTAAGTTTCTTGTAACTTAACATCTTAATGTCCCCATGACCACTGCAGCTGTTTGAAGAAAGCACATTACAGACCCATGCCTAATTTATGAAGAATTAAAGATTATACCTTAAATCCAACTCTGTTGTCTAAGCATGCATGCCAATCAGCTTTCATTTCTTTCAAAGGAACTCGATCATGTGGCCTGCCATACAGCAGTCAGATACATCATGAATGACAGAAATACCAGAAATTAAACAAAGTTTTTCATGTTAAATGGATGGCAGATTTTACATATCTAGAAAACTTTACCTCTTGGGCCCTGATATACAGGGTTCAACATCCTCAAGTTTCAATTCCAAGTATGAAGAGTACACTTTCTCAGTCTGAGGCTGAGTTCAGAGAACAAATTCTCAGTAAGAACTGCATGCTCTAAATTTTGTATGAAATCCTAGAAGAAAGAACCTAATGTGTAAAATTTACCTCACTGTAGTCCACAAACATCTTATTGGCCCGTAAATAGGATTCTATCATAGCAATCTACATTTTTGTTCATAAGTTAGTAAATCAAGGGTTGATACATCAATTGAAACAAAGATTTACCCTAAGGACTTACAGTCTCATCACTTCTGCCAGTCAATCGTAGATACTGCAGAGTAACATGATCCACAGGGAAAAATCCCATGGTTGCACCATACTCAGGAGACATGTTGGCAATAGTGGCACGGTCTGCTAATGACAATTCACTCATGCCTTCCCCTGTATAGAAAAGTTGAAGCAATATCTATCATGAGATAAAAGACGCAGCACAGAAACAATGAATATGTAACAACATAGTGGTTCTATCGAAGACTATACCATAGAATTCCACAAACTTGCCAACAACCCCATGCTTCCTCAGAATTTGTGTAACAGTCAACACCAAATCAGTAGCCGTCACACCATCCCTCAATTTTCCTAATAGTTTAAACCCAACAACACCTGGCAAGACCATGCTCATGGGCTGCATTAAAAAGGCAAGTATAAATTCATTAACCACGGCGTTTTGCCTGCAAACTAGTCATTCACGAATTAAACGTTCACCCTTCCAGCTATGTCTTTAGATGAAATAAGAAATGCATCAATGCCAGTTCAACACTTAAATAGACAGTTAGCTCCATAAATTTTCTCTTTTT